CTCTCATCATAATCTTCATCGTCAGTATATTGATCATCAGAAATACGAGTTTCTGGACTTTGGTACTTAACTTCATACATATTTTTCTTTACCACTGAATTTTTGAAATTTTTAAAATAATCAATTTCTTTATTTTTTTTGATATTTCTTATAGGTAAACGTCCTTTAGGTACAGGTGGTTTAAAAAATTCTGTTCGATTATTTGACTGAAAAAAGTTAACAGTATTTCAAATATATACATTATGTTATTGTATACATAATATTTATCAAAATATTTATACTTATTATTCAAATAATAAATATACATACACTAGTTTCTTTCATATTTTATATAATCGAAATACAAGTACATTCTACTAAATAGAAATTATAAAAATACCTCCAGTATTATATTTTTAAAGAATGAAATATAAAATTTCACAGTATATTACTATCTTAGAATCACATGTTGAAACTAATTAAACTAAAACTACTATAACATTGTAATTGTTTAAAATTAAAAAATTTATGATTTAAATTGTTTATAATACAGTTTCATATGCATAACCTATGAAAAAAGTTTTACATTAGAAATATTTAAATAAAATATACTGTTCTTATAATATATAGATTGAATAATACATTAATCTCAGAGATCAAATTGGTAAGCCTGTTACTAGATATATTCATGGAATAAAAAACACTGTATAAACTGTATACATAAAAATAATTACAATCCTGCCTAAATAAAATGATAAATATTGCAATTTTAAATCTCGAACTTGCTATTACTTACTAACACTGTATTGTATTAAATAATTTAAAAATTATTATTAAAGTATTATTAAAACTATATTTTAAATGAAAAATGAATGTATAATCATTAAAAAATTTATTCGTGTTATGTAGAAAAATTATACAAACATATCGATTCTTAACATTTCTTTTACCAAAAAAAAAAAAAAAAATGTGATTTATTTAAAAATTTAAATTCATATGCACAGACTTTCTATTATGTTTTGATAAGTGTATTAACTACTTTGTACGACATATTTTTATTGATAAGTTATTACGATATATAAGAAATCATCAATCTTGAAAAATGTTCGACATTGGTACCACCATTGATATGCTGTACCAACATATATGAATCGTTACGGGATGTGTTACCGAGAAAAATACATTTGTACAGATTTAATAAACAATTGCAAGCATTATTCGTCTGTAGTAAACGTATTAAATACCTGGTTTTCAAGATTCAAAGGATATTTTATGATAGTTTTATGGTGACGGCATGTGTGTTGATCCGTTAAAGAAAATATGCCATTGGGGTCCGCTTACTGCTCTCGGTAGATAAATTGGATTTTTAATTTAAATTGGTGTTTTATCAAATGTTAAATTAAACTACATTTTTGCGGTCGTAAAGTATTAAAAGTTTTGTAAGTTAATACTATTCTAAGTATTAACATATTTTAATAATATATTATCACCTTGCTAAGAAATTGATTATAGAAGTGTTGTGAGAATAAACTTGACAGTCGAGTGCTTCCATTTTGTTTTATACATATCACAATATAATGCCGGGAAATTTGAACATATTTTTGAAATTTGTATTATCTTTATAGTACATTTTTTGATATACACCTATCAAATACATAAATATATTATTTAAATTAATTTGAAAATTATGTTTATTTATATTAATATTGTATTTTTTATGATACTGTTTTAGGAATTATAAAAATAATTACTTTGATGACAATACATTGTAGTAGACAATGGTGGCCACCTCAAGAAAGTTTTTTTGGAGCTGTTAATTTTATCCTTTTCTTTTGTCTTAGTGGATCTACTCTCTTCCATTTTATCAGTGCTATTTATGAAGGACCTGGATTTCTCCCATTACAATGGATGCCGGTATTATAATACATATTTGGAAACAATAGTTAATATAAAAATGAAATTTTTTAGTATAGGATTCAAATTAGCTCCTCCTTTAGGAAAACCCAATGGACACCCAATTTTTACAATTTTGTATCCTTTGCGAAGGATACAAAGCACCAAGATCTCATCATTGTAGAAAATGTGAGATTTTATATAGTTATATGGATATAATACTTTATATAGTACATTAAATTTACTTCTAATTTTTAGGTGGTCGTTGTGTTATGAAAATGGATCATCATTGTCCATGGATAAATAATTGTGTGGGACACTACAACCACTGTCACTTTACAGCATTTTTAGCAAGTGCAGTTGGAGGATGCTGTGTTTCAACTTATACTCTAGTTTCTTGGGTGATGACTGTGTTATGTTTAAAACCATTATTATTTCCACCACCTTCTATATTTATTTTGATATTAGTTATCTTTAGTATTGGTTTATCAATCGGTGTTATTCTTGCTGTTGGAACATTACTTTATTTTCAAGTAAGATTTTAATATTATACCAGTAAATTAACACTTATACAATACCATTTATATTTTTATAATATTTGTTATTTGAATTTATTTTTTATAGCTGTTGTCTATAATAAAAAACAGGACAGGAATAGAAGTTTGGATTTCAGAAAAAGCTCATTATCGAAGACTTGGAACTAGAGATAAATTTATTTATCCATATTCAAAAGGATGGCGTTTTAATTTACAGCAAGTTCTCACATGGGATTGCACACCTGTAGGTGATGGAATTAACTGGCCTGTAATTGAAGGTTGTGACCAGTATACTTTAACGGTAATGTATTATGCATTTATCTCTAGTTAGATATATTTTCTGTTATTATATATTCAGTGAAATATTAACACAAAATTGTTTCGGCAATATTTTAGCGGGAACAATTGGCTCAAAAGAAAGATAAACGAACAAGAGCTAAGACTTACAGAGTTATAGAAGAAGCATCAGGATCTTACTTACCAATAGGACATGGTTGGGGTGTATTGTGTCATCCACCTTACACCGATGAACCTCGTATTAAACTTAAAATTGGAGATATCGTAATTGTAACACGATGGCGAAAGTACGTTTATTTAAAAAAATATTATTCACAAGACAGTTATATAAATTATGTATTTTATAGATATTGGTTGTTTGGAGAGAAAAAATGGTTGTTTGGACAGAAAACGCAAGACGATAAAAATGAGAAACAAGTAAGAACTCGGGGTTGGTTTCCGCGGCCTTGTGCCATTGAAGTAATTGAGAACGAAGTGTATTCTTCCGCCTTAACAAAATCAGATTAAAGCATTCCTTCTTTGTGTAGAATTTTTATAGAGTATTTATGAATGTATTATTGGATGAACGGCTATATTTTTATCTAGTGTTTTGTATGTAAGTGTTTATGACGAATGCGTGTTTTCAAATATTTCACTGATCTAATATGGAACATATTCTTTCTATAATCATTATTTGACGTACCACTATACTATATTTATTATATAAACAAAAAAAAAATTGTTTATTTTTAAAATAATATGCACAAGGCAAAATTTTATTATATTTTTTTTTGTTTTTTTCTTTGCATTTTTTGTATAAAAATGTTTATGATGATGTAAGTATTTAAAAGAATGCAAAATATAAAACTTAATTATATTTTTGTATGCCGAGTTTTAATTTAATATAGAATTACGTGTATATATTTTAAGAGCACATTATTTTGAATATTGTAAATAATGCTGTTAATAATCTTTTCAACAGTGATGTATTAAATTATTGTGTGGCATTTTTTAATTCATCTAGCAAAAAAATTTTAATAGTAAGGATTCAAGTAATATTTTCCTGTGTAATCTGTGATTTACAATATGTAATTTAATAATTATAAAAGAATGAATTTTAGTATGTATATTTTTACGAAAAGCTTTTGTAATCAGTCAATAAATGTTTCGCTGTAAACTATGCACGCCATTTTTATTTAAAAAAAATCGGTCACGAATATTTTTATGCTTTATATTGGGTCGACCTGAAACCTTGTAGAAAATCAATAACACTGCGAAAAGTAACACTGATCGGGTAACATATTATAGTTCTGTGCAAATGATGTAGTATTAAACTGAGATGCGTGACTTTTCCTCGAATCAATTGAGTAAGGTACAAAAATTACGTACAATACAGGCATATGTTTCTCGTACACTTTCCTTCGTATTTTATTCCTTTTAATCAATATAACTAGAAATTGATAATATATTATATTACTATATACAGCATGAATCAGAATATTTTTGTGTCCGCAAAGTCAAAAATATATTCGCATAAATATATTTTATTACGAACGAATAATTGAATTAATGCAAAAATTACCTATTGAAATAAAAAATCCAGATCCTTTTCTATTAAGAAGGTTCGAAGAACTTGAAAAATATTACAAAATTTAATCATTAAAAAGTTCAAAATATAAAATTAACGTAAGCAGTTTTGATGTAAAATAACTTATTTTCGGGAACTTTTTTCTTATGGAACAAAAAATTCTTCAAAAAAGTAAGAAGGAAGAATTAACAAATATCGAAAAGCGATTCGCAGTCAACTGTGGAGGATCGATGAGGGGATCGAAGTGAAAGTGACAATTAGCAAAAGTGAATTGTGCCTACCTTTTATGATTTTATGGTGGGATTTAGCTACGTTTGACTTACTCGCAAGAGATCGAGTGGTGCAGTTTCCTTCGAGTCACACTACTTCTACCACGATTATTTCGTTCTTTTTCTCTAATTACTCTACTCATAGTAAGTGTCTTTCGTTAATTTTCTATTAATTTCATTTTACTTTTTTGTCACATTATCAAGACTAAAAAAGGAAATTGAATGATTAGTGTTTTAATATTTTAAAATAATTTTAAAAACTATGGATGAACTCTGATCGACATCGTTCGTACTTACATCCTGCTATTTTAATATGAATATCTTTTTAGCTTTTTTAAAATTAACATTGAAAACAAAAATAAAAATATTTAACTCTTAATATTTGATTCATTTTTTGTAATTTTTGATTTTAATCTCATGTTACTTCTATCAATAGCGCTTTTAAATTATAGAAAATGTTAAAGCAGGATAAATTTTTAATCAAAGAATCTTAAATTCTTTTTAAATTCATTTTCAAACAAATGATCTATACGTGTACCGAACATTTAGTCTCTTTAACGTTCATTGGATTAATTCGTCTTTTGTATCGAATGAAAGGTTCTGAGTATAAGAAGAGTATCAAGAAGAAACGAAAAATATGAGCTTGAGTATGAGGAACATAGCGTTCGGTACGCTGATTGTTGCTTCTTCAGTATTGCTCGTATGCAGTTTTCCCGATGGAGCACCAGTGGATACTTGTGTGAAGCCATCGAAACCCAACGAGCCGAATCATGGTCAAGCGAAGTCGCAACCCGTAGGATCGAGCCCTTATACGTTCACCGCCTCGTCATCGGAATACGGCCCTGGATCTCAGATAACTGGTAAGTTATTTGTTTTCTAATTTGTGACATTGGTGACCAATATATGGCATTAAGTTCCTTACCTATTTGCCTACTTACTTACATTGTATTTTATAAAGTTATTGGTACAGAAACTAGATGTAGAAAGTTGATACGGTGGTATTTCTAAATGCTCGGGGAGTGTAAGAATGAGAACGTAATAGGGGAAGAATAAATTAGAAGACATTAAGTACACCGATTGCAACGAAAAGATTATCCAACTTTTTCTTAGGTCATAAGTCTACTATAACAATACGTGCTATCAACCACCATACATCTTACTGTCTCGTGCGTTTCTATCGTAACATTGCTATTATACATTGTGAACACACTTACGTTTTAATATGCATAATCCAATCTGAAACAGTTAATCATCGTAATCTTTCTAAATTTACAGGAACGGCTCGAATAAAAAAAAATTTTTTTTAAGAGAAAACGAAAAAGCTTATATTCTAATAATGAAAGAAGTTTATCTTTGCATATAACTATCGAACAAGAATTTGTCTTTATCGATGAAAGAAAAAGAAACAAGAAACTAACCTCTTTAAAGAATAGGAAGAGAAACGAACCACTGTCTTCTGCAAGAGATAAGAGTTGTTCCTTTTAGAAAAGAAAAAAGAAACGAAAAAGGTAATTTTCTTCGTAGGTGAAGAAAGATGTGCAGTTAGTGTTTCATTACCACGGATATACTATGCGTTTTGTCTTAAAATTAGCGGTATAGCGCGGGAACGATCGAGCGCGAAAGAAGAACGGAACGGAGCCATCACAGAACAATCGATCCAATCAGCGGTCGATACTGTGCGACTCGCAACCCGTCTAAACGCTAACAATCGCGTATTCTACTGTTCGTAGGCCGTTTCTGCATGTTCAATCATCGGAATAATAGCGCGAATTGTCCACGGGAAGAAATTCTTTCTTGCGTAGATTTCGTCAAAACCAAATAAAATTATGTGCTCAAAATTTCTATTACTCCTCGAACTGTTTTTGTATAACGATATATGTATCAGTACCTGGGTAACTCGTACGGGTGTTTAACAGTTTTACAATAGTTTTCAAATTCTTTCATGATTTATTTTCATTTGGTTGAGAAGATTTCTGAGAAGAGTTGTATAATGTATTGGTTGCGATTGTTTTCGTATGATGTAATAGTTGATTGTTTGGAAATGGAGGTTAAGATGAAATTTTAAATGAAATCTGTGTATTGTTATGAGGTTAAGTTGTGTACTTCGGATTGCGAATTTTAGGTTACATTACATAAACAAATAATTCACTGTTAAGAATTTGGTCATTGAAGATGCATTTTAATAACGAAATATTTTTCCTTGGAATTGAAATGGAGTTGAGACACTCACTGAAAATTTTCTGCTATTTCATTCGTCATTATTATATACAGTTCTTTGTACATTGAAATCAAGCTTAAAACCTGACGTTGTACGAGTAGTGCATTAAAACGGATTTGACTTTTCTTTTTAGTCATCCTAATTGCGTTCTTTGTACAACGTCGTCTTTGTGTCACCGGTGCTAATACCGTGTATCGATAAAAAATGGAAAGAGAAAAAAAGCTATGTGTGGTCAGAGCAAAGAAATACTGCGTCGATGGAATGGGAGGGGCCATAAAGACTTTATGCACTAATTTCGCAAACAAATATTATATTATTTGATTTATACGTAATATAGTTGTTACGATTTAATAGAAATTTCATTCACAACTTTAAAATATTGTTGAATAAAAAATGTAATCGATAAATAATTACTAAACCATCAAGGTAATTAGACCATACTTATATTTTATAATATAATTTATAATTTTGCCAAAATAATGTTTCAGGGTTAAAAGCAAGATAATATGTATTTAAAGAAAGAGAGAATATATGATTAAAATATATTTTTAAAATAAATGTTTGAGGTCAGTTTCTCGCTATTGGTGGAAATATATTTTTAAAATAAAAATGCGGGCCATTCCTTTAAGAAAATAAAGGAAAGAGAGAAGAAAAGAACAAACAATAGTAGAGGTTCGATCACGAATATACATAATTTGCAGGGCATCGACCTTGCCTCTTATCACGATCGAAGCTCAGTGCAATTGACCCACGACTAAACTGCTCCTTTTCCAATGTCTTGGAATATGCGACAATAGAGAAGTTGAAACGAAATGGGGTGGACTGAAGGTGGCGTAAACGGATAGTGGCTGAAATGAATCTCGAAGTCTACGTCCTGTTTACGTTCCCGAAAGAAATGTACTTGCTACTACTGCAACTTTATTCACGCTTTCTATTTTTATTTTTAACAACATTCTCAAAGTGAGGAATTATTTTTATCATTGTCTAAATATTTTAACAAATTCAAGATATCTAAATCATACCTGTCACCGTAACTATTCTTCATTTCGACAAATTACCGTGTTAAAATTTCATTTTTCAGAATTTTTTTCTTCAAAATAATATTCAAAATGGAGATGTAAAAAAGATATTTCCTTTTCTAGTAACGCATTATTTATGGTGTTTCATAGACAGAATTAAATTTATAGTTCTCAAAGAAGAAGTCACAAAAAGAATTCTTCCAATCTTCAGAAAATAGCGCCCACAAAAAGACCATTAGGTTAAATTAGAATTCTCATTGTACCAAGCTAAAAAACAGGGCGCGTAAGTTTGTCCAGGAAACATCCTGTCATATGCTCATCCATCGTTCTTTATACTTACTTACTTCCCCCTTGTCCCTCTGTACAACGCTAACAAACAGTTCCATCAAGTTGTCCCCTGAGATTGAGTTTTCCAGTGAACCGATCGCTTTGCAGTGACCATCAGCGGCTCGTCGTTCAAGGGATTCTTCCTGCAAGCACGTGACCCCGAGACAGACAGTTGGATCGGTTCCTGGGCTCAAACCGATAACACGAATACCCACCCCGAGTGCAGCGCCGTGACACACGCCGATCCTTATGTGAAACAGCACGCCACCCTTATCTGGAATGCGCCGCCCAACGCGCGTGGACGCGTGTATTTCACGTGAGTGCCAATTTTCTTCGTCCGAGAAAGATAAAGTGCTTTGACGAGGTTTGCGTTCCAAATCGAGTGCTTTGTCGAAATATCGAAGTCGAGAAGGCTATGATTTTCAGAGAACTCTGGAAAAATTTAGGTGAAATGTTTTCTTTCTACCATTTTCTATTTTCTAATTTTTTTTTTTCTTTTAGATTCTCCTATGTAATATACTGTATATGCGTTTGTTTTTTTTACAGTTTTTCCCCTACGGTGATTTTCATGTTTCTATGTAAAGAATATATGGAGGAATGCTTTTGCTGTTTAAAAGTTTTTATTTTAGTTGGATGGAATTTGATGGAATTTCAGAGTTGCGTCGAGAGATAGTAGTGACGAAATATTTGATTGGGGAATATTCTTTAACGATACTTTGTGTGGTTTAATGTTTCGAAATTTCGTCGTTTCTTTTATTCCTTACTTGGACCGTTCGCCAAGAATTTTATCTCTGATGAACATCTGGATATATCGGTGATGTATTTTTAAGGCAATATAGCTTTAATTTAATCAGTAGAATGAAATGAGATAATTGCATGAATTTGATGTTTCAAGATTGTTTATGGTTCCAGAAAAAATTTGGTAAAAGCATTTTTAAAAATGTACTTCCTCCTTAATCAATTGAGGGATGTTCAGAGATTGGAAAATAAATAGGAACGCACTTATCGTATTTTTCACTCGTAGTCCTCATATACGGATTTCTCTGCTTTAAACTATTTCCACGGGATATCTGATTCTCTATGCATTAATTGATAGAAATTCTATATATTAATCGAGATTGTGTATACGTCTCGCATCATGTCATTCATTGAAACATCATGTATAATATATCATAGATTAGCTAGAAGGCTAACATAAATTCCAAGCGCTGTCAAGTTTAATTCAGCCTCGTTCATTACGAACGACAAGCATATACTACTACGTTTAATTTATGGTAATTGGTTGGAGTTTGGTGAAGGGAAATATTTGTAAATTCTTCCTCGAGAAACGCAATCTACTTTTCAGGTTGCGTCACTCTTATCGTAAACGAGGTAGTATCATTTGTTGCGTTTTAAACGGGAAACGAGTACAAGCTATTACAACATAGCTACGGCATAACACGATCACTTATTAACTCTGTCATTCACATCGCGTTTTCATACATATGTATATAGATTTGTTCTTGTTACCATAGGAATGCAATGAAATTGTTATTAATATATTCTCACCTCCTATTTTGTTTATGTATTAATTACACATCTCATTAAATTATATGGAGTACTAACAGTTTATTATTTATGCTACATTAAATGCTTATTCAGGTATATTTTATGGAATGACAGAAGTTTATGGCAATTACGTGTCGTCCAATAAAAAAGACTGACAGTGAAATCGAAAGGAGAAACAGCATAAAATAATCAGGATAATTAAAAAACATCCATTGATGTTAAAAAAGTTCAAGGATAATGAAAGACCGTGGAAGGGCAGAATGACGATTAACCACCACACCCTGTAAGAATGGCACCCTCCGTTACACGTGGATGATGAGTATGAAAAGTTCGTCGTTGCTGTCTTTAAATTAAAGATAATTGCCAGCAAAAGCTCTTCATTGAGGAGAAAGTCGTGTTTAACAAAAGCATTCGTAAGACATTAAGAAATTAATTGAGTTTACACTTGCTTTTCTTCCTCAGTAGACGTTTTAAAATTTAATAGTCTACAAGTATCTTCATAATTCTCATTCTTTGAGAAATTCTCATTATTTTCAGAAAAATTAAAACTGATAATATTGATATTTTCTTAAACATAGTTTATCTCTTTCATTCTCAAATTTGGCTCTATTTTTTGGCCCATTCGTTTATCATTTGATCGGTTTCTGTTCGTTTGTCGGTCAAATGTAGATGAAATAACTCCATCTGAATATTTAATACACCGCACACCATGGAATTCTCGCTGGCAGAAGAAACTTCCTCTGTCCCATAAATAAGGAATCCAGTATGACAATAATTTACGAGCAATGTCTCTGTTCGTTACCAAGAGAACAGCTGAGGGACGAGATTATACTTCTATAGCGAGCTAATTAATTAATTTCAACAACGGGTTTTCACCCGTTGGGACTCGAACAATCTGTCTGTGGTTATCTCAGGTCTAAACAGAAAAACTTCCATTTTTCTCCAATTTCATCCGCAGAGATCGTGCGCCAGGTCCGAAAAAAGAACGTTCAATTTTTCAACGTAACGAAGAACCACGTTCACCAAGTGGAAAGAGAAAAATCGTTTAATTTGTTTCCTATTCATTGAAAGGATTTTATTCTCTTTATTGTTATAGTCTTTCGAAGTTTCTTCTCAATTGATCAAAACTGTTTTAAAATTTACTGATTTTCAGATGTGAATCTTTTAATTGCCCTTATAGAGTATGTATTCCTATTTTTGGAGTTTGGAGTGACTTGTATCAAAGACGAAATAATCTGTGTTACTGGCTGTGTTGGCGAAGGTGTATTTCTGAGGTGGAAAGTCTAAAACGTCAGGCGTGTTTGAGGTGAGAAGTGGCTAGGTACGTGGTCTCTGGGTTTTCTAAGTGTCCATTGAATTAGCTGTTTACAGAATATCTGTGGATCAGCAACTCGAGTCTGCTGATTGATATATAGGCTATTGCCGAGGTGAAAACTGTTTCAAGGATGGTATGGATGAGCTATTGAGAGGATCAAAGGATTTTTCCACCACTTTCTAATCGCCCAACAGCGAGTATTTTCCTTTCCTCGTTTCTCATTATTTGGATTATGGGTTTTAATTGTAAAATATCCACGATATGTATATATTCTCTATCGAAGTCTTTTATTACTCAAGAAAGGTATCTTGAGAGACTGACCGTCTCGCGAGAAAGGGTCAAGAGGGTACGTGACGCGGTTCGCCTAAACCCAAAATTCTTGTCGAATATTTATACAAACATTCGTTCTCGGAATTTAGATCTTATAAACTATTTATTCATACCTTATATCCTAGATTGATTATTATCTATAACTAAACTTATCTTTACAACGCTAATCCATCCGTGAAACTGCATATATCGGTCAAATGTAAATGGAAAAATCTTTGGCAACTTTTATTTTCAATTTCCCGAGGCAATCGAGCCAGGCAAGTTACAGCGCGTATGAAAGACCTCCACTTCGGTACGGGGATAACGTAATAAGACTAATTGTACGCCACTGGCCAGTGGAAATAATCGTTTTCGCCGCGCGATTGCTCGCGAATACGCGTGTACACGGCAGGCTTGTTAATAAACCATCGAATTTCCAGGGAATATTACAGGTCAGGAGTTTCGCATGCAGGGCTGAAAGGTAGGGTATGAATCGTTCTAGCTCGTTGCGGTCCCTCGTTTCCGCTCTCTTTTTTTTTGCTCTCCCCTTTGCTTTCCCTTTTTCATGCGACCAGAGAGAAAACCGTCTCAAACTTGAACGTGGTAGTTTCTAAATTTTGTTTCTCGTTCTCGTATTTGAATTGTGAGTGGATTCTGTAAAAAGGGTACCTCTGTTTTGCTCGGGCGGGGCTTAAAAAATCGACTTCAAACGTTGTTATGAAAGACCTTTGTTTGGGTGAAGCTTTCATCGTTGCTTGTAAGGTTAATTACATTACTTTTGCGAAGGAAAATCGAGAAGGAAGAAAATATTTGCGCAATTCTTGCAAAAAATAACTAGATAAATAATAAATTAAATTACAATTGGATATCTGATATCCTAATAACGATACTTCTATTATAGGGGTACCATTTTGAAGGAGTACGCGAAGTATTGGTCGCATTTGGTAGCCACATCGGAGCACTGAGAGGGGTTTCTGCAACTGTATTCAATCGAACGATCCTGCTTTCGAGGCGAAAACGTCGAGAAGATTCACGAATGGAACGGAAGGATGTTACGACACCATCGATGGATACGCTTGGGAACATCGTGGAACGTACATACGCGTATTTTGTACTATCTTGTATATAGATCTATTTTGTTACAAGAAGGAACGACTTTAAATACAGAAGCGCAAAAAGTTCGCACCGACCTTTATTTCTCTCGCGTTGCATTGAAACTTTGGTCATGAAATATTAATGACGTTAAACTGGCCGTTTATTTTTTGTTCACGCATAAGAAGCTACTTTCTAGTTTCATTCGTTACCGACCAGATCGATCGTCTCATTAAGCAAGGGTTCTCGATCTGTCAGACGCAGTTGCGTAATCCTCGATTGATCGAGGTACATCACGACTTGTTCGGCGTGCCGCGATAATCTGCTCTGCCTTAAGCCGCTTTTCAACTGCGTAATCGCGTAACGTTCGATCGGTCGAATCGAAGTAAATAAACCGTTGACAAGAAGCAAGAAAAATCTACTATAGAAACAAGTTGCGTTGTTCCTTCATTCAAGGTAATGTTGCAATTTTTCACGCTAGGAAAAACTCGATTCTAAGCAATCTTAATATTTGATCGTTTCGTAAAGACACCAGGCACTACTGTGCGATTTCTCATTGTCGCGAATGTGGCACAAGGTTCATCGAAACTACGATCTTCCGCTGATGAGTATGGAAAATTGATCACCGGTAATAAGAAGGGACATCATTAGAATCTTCCGAAACATCCTCACGACAACATCTCATTTATCAAACAAAGAAGTCGAACGTCACCAACTTATCCTAACCTAACCATCGTGTAAGGAACTTTAGCCTCCTGGAAGATGACTTGCAATAGATTCGCTTTTCCACGAACTTGCACAACGTTTACTCCCAATGAACTCGCCTAACACCATCTGTTTCAACATCCAGTCAAGCAAGTTTTAGCTATCCGCAAGATTCATGAGACCGCGCCAGAAATTAGGAGACCTCGATCAGTATCAGCGGTGTCAGAGTAGCGAATGCAGACACATTTTGTCCTTTCTCTGAGAAAAGAAATCCCCTTGATCGAACAGATCGAGAGGATTAAGCAAAAATTTACAAGTTCATAAGAATGTCTAATCGGTATGTAGCAAGGGTAATGAAAATTCGATTAACACCAAACGCGCGTCGAGCCAGCGCCATTTCGGAAACTTCTCGGATCTCACGATAGAGAGGCTAAATGTTTCAGGAAAATTGCGGAGATCTTGGAGCAGCCATCAACGTAGAAGGCGACTATGCGACGCGTTTAATGTATCGGAAGGGAATTCTGGTACTGATGTTTAAGGAGCCGCGATTACCGGCCGCACGCTGAGACACGTGAACCGATACGGGGACAGGGCGATTGCCACACGTTTCCAAAGAGGGTTTTGCCGTTTCTTCGCCGGATGCCACTAATGGAACTCAGCACGCCTTTGCGCGAGCAAAAGGTTCGCGGGGCACGTTACGTAAGTTAGTCGCTCGGTAAAAGTGGGTCGTACCCGTAAGGGAGGCTTGATAACTTCCAAACCGATCTTGTCGATACACTTTACGATTCTAAGTAGTTTCGAATTGGAATCGATGTTGGGAGAGCTGTCCGATGAATCTCGATGCAATGGGTTTGCATCTGGAGGGAAGAGGTGGTAGTTAGGATCTATTCTGTTGTCGATACCGATTCAGTTATGTAACTGTTGAAATCGTTATCGATTTTGTTTTAAACGATATTTAGTTATCGATATAAGAATATTATGCTAATATAACATTTCGACAAAATTGTAGTAATATTGCGATATATTGACTAACACAGTACTATTATATTGATAGAATACCAGATTCATTCTTGAACTTTTAATTTTGTTTCTTGATGATCTCAAATTACTATTCACCAAGAAATAAACTATAAATAATATAAAAATATAGAAGAATGTAAAAATTACGAATAACGAGTAATTATTCGAAAATATATATTTCTTTTGGTATTTAAATTATTTGCGTTTGTAAATACCAAGGGTCGTATTTCTAATCGTTCAACGTGTAATAGGCTACCTTGCAACAGTGATCATGCTGACATAATTTCGTGACAATCTCGAACAGCATTAGGAGGCGGATTAAAGACAGTCGCAATAGATACGTTTCATGCTTTCGATTAAAGTGCCAATTGTTTCGATTGTACTTGGAATCTATCAATTGCCAGCCAGCATCTGACAGAAACAGACAGGCTTACGTACTCGGCTGCCATAAAAATCGAGGTGACGTTGCTTGACGTCACAAACCCGAGGGGTCTATGGGATTAGTCTTTATAAATATATACATCGATAAAAACATTCATCCACAACGCGATTCTCATCGATAACCCTGGCTGACAAGTTTGATCTCTATATAGGTGAATTTCCTTCCAATGGAATCAGGTGATGATCGATTGGCGCAAATCGAAGGCCGGCGAGAAAAAATGGCAATGATGGAATATCAACGGGGATTTAAATATTCAGACGAATACAACGAGGCGGAGCTCTTCGCACCAAAGATCAGGCAGACGGATGTAAGAACGTCGATTCCGAATGATACGCGTACTGGAACCGTGTCTTGAAATACAGAGATTTGAACGACGAAGGATACGTGACACGAATGTGTGCTCTATGTACTACGTCTGTGTGAAAGATTGAGCCCTGGAGACAAGAGAGCGTGAATCTGTCTCCCACGATTTTGCAGAAGTTCAGAGCTTAAAGTGTAGGTTGAACTCTTCGCGGTGTATTCTACTTTGAAGAGCGAAAAAAGCGATTCCCGAAGTTTTATCGCGATATCGTGTCAGCTAGGAACGAAAAACCACCCTTCTCGAAACCAGAATCTATCTATTTATGTATCTATATAAATTGATTTGTATATTCAACCTAAAGTTCGAATTTCTCGTTACATTAGAAAGACGAGTTCCCAATTATTATATCGTAAACAGATACAACGCAGCATAAACGACAAATTCAGTTCTTTCAAATTTTTAGCGTAAAACTCGATGGTAGATTCGACGTTAATTATACATACCGTAATCCACTCCACAGCCAAACTACATATACCCGTACAGCCCAGCGCGTTATCTCTCAACGTTACTTTTTACTACCCCGTGTGGTCATTCGACGTAAACGCGCGAGTTTGCTGTTCTGAACCCAACAACCATCAACGCGAGTAGCGTAGCCGGTTCTCGATCCATATTTACGCTGAACCTCGCGTATCTTCGCCAGCCACTGATCCGTGACCGCGTCGTTAGGGTCTCGACACGTTTCCGCAGCGTATGCAACACCGCGACCCCCCGCCCCCCCCCCGCGTCGCGGCGCCGCGACGCCAACGGTCGTGTGCCGAGCAGCACGTCGACGACGTGTTCCTCGCCCAGGATCATGCATATTTACGTTGCGCCGCAGAGAACACATCGACGGTCTGGCTGTTTCACGAGGAATGACTCAGGGGCTCTGCGCCCCTGCGACGTTCGACGACTGCGGGCGGGAGAGGCGCTGGGGGGTGCGAGGCGCGTGCTAGGTTCTCGTGTGCATTGCGCAGGACGTCGGCGCCCTGGCGTCGCGACCACCCCCCGAGCGATTCGGTCGTTGTTTGCTGGCTCCATATCGCGAACGCCCGCGTGGAGAAGACGATCGTGTCGTTGTCTGTTCCATCAACCTTCGCGCTTCTCATTCACGTTCCTCGCTTTGACGGTGAAGGGATTGACAGATCCTCGGCGCAGTTTCTCGGTTGAGTTTCTCTTCGATTCAACGTATTGATCGTGTCACGAGTATTTCGTGTACGATACGGTAGGATACACAGAGTAGAAACGTAGAAAGAAGACGGAGTGCCATTCTGTTTGCGTAAAGCTGGCGTTTGGGCGGTGAGGGGGAGTGGTGGTGGTGGTGGTGGTTGCGGTAAAACGTGTCCACGAACCTTGCTCTCTCCTCCTCCTCCTTGACCCCCCTCCTCGGGCCGGCACAACAGGACGTTGACGACAAGGGTGAAAAGAACGAGTCGTCTGATCGCCGCTCCTCGAATCAGATTTCTCCCCCGTTTTGGTACACTCTGCGTGGAACGGTGCCCGGTGGAACGTGCGGAGATATGCGCGTGCTATCGATCACGCGGCCCGATCGCGCGGATATGTGATACCGGAAGTAGGTACGGCAGGCTTGACCTGCGTGCAGGTGCTCCAAGGTGCGTACCACGTATGCGTACATACATAGGGGCGAGCAGCGACAGAGCAGAGAAGGGTGCGCGAGAAGAGGCCGCGTGTCAGGGCCAGTCGTGAAGATGCACGCCACCGACGCCGTCGCCGTGACGGCGTCCCTGCCGTCATCCACGTCCTCCGTGTCCGTCTCGAGGAAGCCCGGTTATGCGGTCAGATTCGTCTGCGTGCTCCTCGTGTTCTGCTGGGTCGTTCAGGATCGGTTGGTGCTCGGCACATCCGAGCCACCGGAACTGTCCACGGTCGAAGGTGAGTTCCGTATTCTATTTTCTTCGCTGCTTTTCATTCTCCAACAGTGTAATCCTGAAATGTAACTTAACGTTAACATTTTTCACCTTTTCGTTGGCAACACGCTTTTTCTTTTATGAAGATGATCAGATTTTTTGTACGTTAATATGAAAAGAAATAGTGTAAGGATAAATTGAACTATGGACCTGGCTTATTGCAGTATTTCGCATGTCGTTATATTATTGTTATAAAGTCAATATTGATTATTAATTTTTATAAATGTGCCGAGTGACGACCGAGAGTCGACTCTCGAGTGCTAAATCTACCACGACTGGTCAGTAGACCGGTTAATTGGCAGATGAAGTGGGCTATATATGAATCTCAAGAGAAACGGAATAAGGAGAGAGACAAATATATATATAAATTTATCCTGGGAATATTATAAGAGCCATCGTGACATTTACCAAAACGACAGTGTTGAATGCAGAATTTACGAAAATTTTTGAAAAGAATATTTTGCTGGTCTTCTTAAAATGGTGATGGAAGATGAAGTACCGCAGTCATGTTTTTAACGAGTATCCGTGCAATTACTGGGAATTTTTCTGAATGACGAAATTATGGTAGCATTTAATGCTACACGAGGAAATATCGAGAAAGTAGATATTTAGTCCATTGTTCCGTAGCAATTAATCATTTCAGACGCCAATTGTGATTCGGTGGCATCATGCACATCATGTGCAGACTTCAATACACTCATCGAGATATTTCATTTTGATAAATGTTCGAGTGACTCTGTACGATGAAATGAAATCAGGAGACAACTTACTCTCCCATTCCCTTCTCGTCTTTGGAATTAACACGAGGGATTCATCGACTGTCTCCATAAACGACAGCCCGAATTGATTAGCTCGACCATGTCACTGATTACGTTCCGCTCTTATCCTGCTCACAGTTTTACTTCCCTGTCTGTAATCGAGCAAATATTATTCCAGCATCGACGAGAGACTACGTGTCGATCGATGTCAAGATCTCTCTGCGTTTTAAGCCCCCTCGCCGGAGCAACGAAACACGTATGCACAGCGGATATACATACAATAAGCCTTTCGCGCGATCGAGCACGGCTATTTATTTACAGCTGACCCATATATATTTTACGGGCTTTCAAACTGTATCGACGATAATCCTTAATGCGTTTCTATGAAATCCGAGTGACTGTGCTCGGAACAGCATCGTGCAGGAAGTAACGAATGACCGATAAATGGTCAATGACCAATTTTCGCGTTTCCGTTTGACATTACTCCAAAATAGTGGAAAATATTTGAGAAATATTCGAAAATGTTTATAACAACATAGAGAAATATTTTCGCACAAAAATATGTCAATATTCAACGTTGAATTATTTTTGAAGCAATTCCATAGTAAAAATTTCTCTAATAATTGTAATATTTTACATCTACGTTCATAAATCTCTTTAAGTACTACGGCATTATCGAATAATCGTATAAGGGACAAAAGATATTTTATCAAAGCATTATACTAACATTCGGTTCCATAATATGCTTAAGTAATTGAGCAGTAAAGATTCTCTTAACAATTGTGGTAATCTTGAAATGAAAACGATGAAATTGCTTTTTCGCCATTCATTGCCAGAAATTGCAAAAAGTTTAATCTGTCGAATCTGTTTAATCCGGAAGATTTAGTGGGTCGATGCTTAATCCTCGAAAAACTTCATTTCTTCATTAAGAATACAAAATTCTGACTAAAATTGAATTTTTACATCGGCCTCTCCATTTTCTTTTAATTTAATTCCTGAATTGATGTGTCTTGCTATTCAGCCTTCCCAAGCGAGCCTAATGCCTCCTCAGACTGGAAAGTTCAATCGCCAGTTCAAGAGGCTCAGTTTATTTCCCCTTTCCGCTTTGTGCTCTCATTTGTGTCCTTATTTCCTAGCCGAATAAGCTCGAGCTTCCTCTTTCCAATCGTTAAATCCAGGCGAATTGCGCCGGCAATATCACTCGCGTTCCTTGAATTCCTTCAGGATTCGTCGATCTCGCGTTAATCTCTTAATCTCTAGCTCGGCGCCACTGGCACATTTTAAACGGAAATTTATCGTGCCCATTTCCGGCCGCCATCACCTAGCTGAATTAGTAATCTATCCGTATTCTCGTTTCCTTGGAAAAACAGTTAGCATATCTCCTCTCTCATCTACGTTTTATCACCCAGTTCTTAGTTTCACATCTCATTCCAGCTTCCACAAGAACCAGCGAGTCTATTCGATTCGGGAGAACAGGTCCAAGAGTTATTCTGTCTTCCAGAGAAACTTGTATCCCAAAGTTTTTGAACTTCGCGCTCTAATGGTCCTATGGTCAAAGTAACGAGCGGGGCGACCTAGAAAAGGCAAAGATTTGCATGAGCCTATCGCAGATAGGACGAGATCACAATAAATGAGGAAGGCGTCGCACTTCCGGAGATCGAGGAAACCATACCGTAGAATGTAATCTCCGTTCACGTCGTTTGTTGCCTCTGACGGCTGCGTTTGATGCGCCAAACGCGATACTAAGGAGGTAATATCGATCCCCGAACGAGAACGCTTTGCCATCGCAATACTTGCACCTGCGTTTTCCTTCCCACGCCTGTTAGCGATCTCTATCGATCGCGAGGCTCGAACCCTCTCGGGGAAGATCGAGACGTTCGACGACGCGTTTCCATCGTGTGAGAAGTTATTCGGAATTATGTTCGGCGAAAACGTGTCGTCGAGTCTGGGGTAAGAAGAAAAATTTCAAATGAAAATCGACGAAGTCGAAAAGGAGGAGAATGAATCGCGTCTCGTTGACTTTCCTCCGTATCGATCTGCAGGAAAAGCGTTTCGCACGGGGAAACAGGCTCCTCTGATTATTCTGCAATGCGCAATGGCGCGATATAAATCTTTTTTATTCCGTTTCCTCGTTTAGTTTCTCCTTTTTCCTCCCTCTGTCTATCTAGCAAAAGGTCAACAGTTTCCATCGGTTTTCAAGGTACAGAGATCCGATCGACACGATAACGTCGTTCCAAATGCATTTCCAATCAAAATATAGTTTCGTGTATCCAACCCTATTGTGCCGGCGGCCGCCATTACAGTGGCACATGGTTTTGTGCAGTCCGGTCGTGGTACATTTGCAAATTGCGCAAAGATAGGCTTGCAGTCGCCATTGCAGTAAAACATCCAGCTTTGCTCGTGCTTGTCCGACGCTATTAATCTGTAACGAAGAGGGTGCTTGTTTAAATTCGTTTAATTTTCGTGTAGTTTACTTAGGCCGTTCCATGTTGCTTCGATGAGAAAAAATTGGGGAAAAGTTTCGCTACTAGTTGGTAGAAAGTTGTTGAAACAGATTGCGAGTGTGTTTGTTGTGATACTGTATGAAGTAGTGGTAGATGGTTGACGTAGTAAAGACTTGAGTTACAACATGCTTTCATTTCTTCCTTTTTCTCTTTTTTTTTTTTTTTTTT